GTGTGTTCCCCACTGACACAACTTCAGCACTGCTGTCAGGATGGATTGCTCCACTGCCCCATGGATCTCTCTCCAAAGTGGGAGAGAAGGGAGAAGGAAGATTTGGAAAGTTTGGGGGGTAGAGGGGACTTAACCACAAAGTGAGTTATCACATCCTGGCATAAGCAGAAGTCAACAATTTTAATGGGAAGAATCTGAGTAAGGAGAAGAGACTGTCAGGAGCAGCCTGCCTCCTGTCTTGACCACCTCACTTACAGGGAAAACAACCACCCAAAACTGGAAACCCAAACATTCTATTTAAAAACCAAATAAAACACCCTAACTATAATTCTGTATCTTTGCAAAACATGCCAGCCAACAAGCCTGCCTTTTCACTGTGTAACCTGGACAGAACCAACAAAGGAGAAAGTTGACTCAACACTTTTTGTACTACTTTCTTAAAAAAAAGCTTTACATAATTATAATTGTGAATGTGTATGCTTCTTCAACCATCCTCTTCCTAATGATCATTTATGCAATGATCAGGGGCAAAAAGAGGAAAGAAATACTACTAGGTCTTTGCTAAAGGAACCATATTAAAATTATGAAAAGTTACATAAGCATAAAGAAACTACACAGGGAAAAGCTATTGGAACTCAAGTTATGCTGGTCAGAGACTGCTTGTTTAGGATACAGGTAAATAGCTTACACATACATACATCCAAGAAAAAAGCAATTTCTACAACACTGCTTACTGTGCAGACTAATCCTGAATACTAATTTTAAACATTAAATTCTTCAATATGAAAAACATTATTTTCCAAACCAGTAGAATTGCTATTTTTCCCTACTATTCACTAGACTTATATTGACTAGTGAACTTGCAAACTAAATCTGAATTTAAAGACAAGTAATACAATGCTAAATATAAATGAGTTAGAGATTTTACATTTTGCTGCCTTGACGATTCTTGTTCTATTCGATTTGTAATGCTTTATAACTATTTGTTTCTAATTTAGAGAAAAATCCTATACAGAAGATGTAGCCAATAGAACTGTAGGATAGGAGACAGGCACATCACAATGGACAAAGGCTATAGCTCCTCAGATAATTACCATTAGTCTAGATAGACATCTGTGAAATAACACTACAGGCAAAATTCTTGCTTATTTATTAACATATTCAAGCAGGCTTCCTCAGCAAAGAAAAAGCAATTCTAAATCTTCCTCTGATCTCCAACATGGTCAGACATAGCCTGGGGCCATGTCTCCGTGATGGGCTTGAGTTTGGTCCCACAATAAATCAGTTGCTGTTGCAGGAGAGCAGCTGGCAGATCCTAACACTCAAGCTTTTCATGATGGTACTGAAACCAGGTCTTTTGATCAAATCAATGCAAACACGGGCTTCAACATGGCTGAAAAACACAAGGCAGAGCTGCACCCTCTTCCTAAGAGAGGCAGACCGCCAAATCCAGAGGGAAGAAAAGAAAGTTGCTTGTTGGCACTTTCAGGCAAAGTAGAAACGACACAATCTCTGGGTCATAAGCATCAATCTGGTCAGTCATGGAAAGATTAAGGTTTTTTGTGTTAGGTGGAGCAGCCTAGCATCATGGAAGTTTGATGTTTTGTCCAAGGGCAGCAGTACAGTAAACAACTGCCCCACGCACTATCCTTTCAGTTACTTATGATTTGGGGTACTTGCTACAAAAACAATTCTCACAGCTAAGTATTCCCCCCTAATTCTCATTACCTGCAAGCTCCACCCTGATCCTGAAGATGCTCCTTCCCTGGCTTTGAAGTTTCACCTTGCTAGGAGCATTTTCACTTCTGAGAGACCAAAGACATTCGCCTGATATCATCAGGCTGTAAAGAGTGTGAGTTAAAACCCTGAATAGCTGAAAGAAGGATCTGTCCCTGGAGGAAGAACAGGGTGCATACTTTGCAAAGGGCTCCACTCAACTGAGACAAGTTCTGATTTTCCCATGGTCCTGCAGTACCAAATATGGTAAATGAATCCTGCGCATTCAACAAATAAGCTTTATATACGGCAAGCTGAAATTGATATACCTACTTATAAAAAGGTTTTGACTGATGGTCTACGTAGAAATCAGCTGCTTCTTTCCTGGAAGAGTAAAAAGACAGAGATACAGATGTATAGATATAGATATATGCACACACACACATATATATAACCCCCCCCCCCCCA